CATGGGTTCGTATGGGCGCGCGTATGTGTAGGGGGAAAATTATAATACATGCAGATAAATTTATTCAAATTATTTAATTAAAAATATTTTAATTTCTAGACCTCAAATGAGGAGAACTTTTTTAGAAAATCTGGATTTGAAAGTATTCCATTTGTGGAAATTTTGCACTATTTGAGCTTTCTCACTGTTTTGATTTCACAAATCGTATGTTTTAGCTTAACCCTTTCAGCCCCAATTTATTTCGTAAAGACGTAGCACGTGGCTTCCCTTATAATAAACAAATTCACTAAGCATCTATTAGAAGATGCGTGAGATAATTTTCAGAGAAGATTTTCAAATCTCTCCCACATGCATGTAATTCCCTCTAAGCTTCTTTAAACATCTACTGGCACTTATATATCACATTGGGGCTGAAAGAGTCAAAACAGCTCAAAATAGAAGACTTGAAAAAAAAAAAAAAAAACACTTTAGTGACAAAAATATTTGATATTACGCTGAGAATATTCCATAGATATTCTACCTACCTCTCCATTTATAGAATTTAATTCCGAAAGGAAAATGTTTTGATCAATTTCGGATGACCCAGGGTTTTTTTCGAACAAAGGCATTAATCATAACATAACTTGTAGAGAAATTAGGCTATTTTGAAGCAGGAGATGTGAAAAATGTGCAATGCCCTCATTGGGACTCAAACCCTCGACCTCTCGAATACGCGCCGAGTGTGTTTCCAATTACACCACGAAGAAACGCGAAGAGGGGAGAGAAAATACGTTATAAACTGATGCCAATTATAATATGAATTATATATTATAGTAAGTTTTTGAGATGCCTATTGAATTCTTTTGACTTTCCTAGATCTGAATCATGAAAATTCTTTACAATTGCAACAAATTATCAAATTTCTAAGGCAGCTTCGAAATTCTGAAATTCCCAAAATGTGCATTTTTTTAAAATTCATTCAAATTATTTTCGAATAGAAATTCATTCCACCAAATCGAATGGGAAGCGCATCCTGAAGTAAATACGCTCCTATGTGACACGCGACAGCGAAATATAGGAAGAGAACAAAACTTAAATCTAGATATTTCCTTTTCCAAAAGAGTGAATGTTTGTTTTCAGTACTGTCGTAAAACTCCCAATCGCGAAAACGTTTTGAGTTCGAAATTCAGGAACATCATTAATTTGCAGCTATTGATTTCTGAACTGGGACGCCCTGTATGCATTTCTAATTTCATCGGTCAAAACAAAGTTTCAATTCGTATTCTTCAAACGAGTTTTCCTATTGTTTCCACTCGCTGTCCAAGCTTTCTAAGAGACGCATGTGTTACAAGACTGCTTTTTAATTCCCATTATTAACCACCTTCAAACACAAACCATGACCGAATAGTTGTTCAGAAGTTGTCAAACTACGAGGTCCAGGCTTGCACTATCGCAGCATATCAGCCAGGTTTTGGAAAGAAAGGTGGAAGGAATGAGAAGGAGGAGATGTTATTGTATCCCGAACCTGCGCCTCATACCCGTTCCGGGTTTTGAATTCTGTAATTAGTGTTTCCCGAAATACGACTGCCTTCAGAGTATATAGGTTGCGAATGCTTTGTGCTTCTCCCGCCCGCCGCGCCGATCGCTCTTCAAGAGTTGACTTGTGAAATATGAATAACGTATTGACTTGTGATCTGCTATGCCAGAAAAAGAATGAAACGCCAATCATTATCTGCTTTCTTTACAGCCTCGTCGTTGTTATTGTTCGCTAGGAGGTAATAACTCTGATAAATTTATCAAGCTCGTAACCTTTTGGGAAAAGAAGATAAGTTCTTTGCTGTTTTCTCGCATAACTGCACTTCTTGTTCCATGAATTGACTGCTGCAAATCTTTAGAACAAAACAAAAAGCATGGACGGAATAATTTGAATTTCGTCATACACTGTAGGGTATCCTTTAGCAAGAAAAACTTTTCTGAGTCTAATTGGCATTAATCAAATTTGCTGTTACTGAGCTAGATGGGGAGTTCCATTCTTGTTTACGAGCAGTTATCAAGTCATTTTTATTAGAAATGTGCCTGTATTTAACATTTTTATCAATTGCTTCCCATAATTCTCAGTAGGATTGAGGTAGGTGATTGAGGAAAATTTTCGATAATATCCACAGCCATGCATTTAGGGTTGTATGTTTAGGATCATCATGAAAACATAATTCTTATTCAAACCCATTTTTATCCCACTGGACCACAAATTATTTTTTAAATATCGATGTAAAGCTACTGATTCACAGTGGCATTAATGATGACTAAATTACGAACCCCATGCAACCCAAACAAGCACCCCTTTTACCTTCCCGTTTCACTGTTAGTAGTAAATTCCCTGGACTCATTGTTAAAGCACTTATGCTTAAAAGTAAAGTTTAAACGACCGTTAGGAAACCTTTTATCGCGTATCTGTTAATAATAATGAAACAATCTTTCAATTTAGGGTTTTAAATTCAAAGTGCTATTAATTAACCTTTATTTTAGGCATCAGCTTGGAAAGTTACATACTTATCCTACATGAATAAAAAATTATAGAACAAAAGGCGACGTTAGTTGTTTGATGCATTAAATGGCTAACATTTTAGAAAAACTAAATACATTCTAGAACACAGCTCACCAATATCAGATCACCAAGAAAGACCTTCGTTAAAAATTATTGTGCAATAAATAATAAAAATATTAACTATATAGTGATTTACTCAGAAAATAACGTGGGTGTTATTCCCCCTTTTCTTGCGTATCTTAGAAGGATTTTCAATAGTTATAGAGACATTAGGTATTTGGGAAGCAGGAGATGTGAAAAATGAGCAACGCCTTCGCCGAGAATCGAACCGCGGACCTCTGGAATACGCGCTCAGCGTGCAGACCACTACACTACGAAGGCATGCTAAGAAGGCGGTAGAAATACCTTATATACTTGCTTTTTTAAAGGGCGACTGAGGTTTTTAGGGAATCCAATCGGCAAGTCCTGGTGGGGAGAATCATCATCCACCACCCTTTTAGTCCGGGCGCCACTGTAGAGACATTAGGTATTTTTTGGAAGCAGGAGTCTTGAAAAATGAGCCACGCCTTCGCCGGGAATGTAACAGCGGACCTCTGGAATACGCGCCCAGCGTGCAGACCACTACGCTACAAAGGCATGCTAAGAAGACGGAAGAAGTACCTTATATAATTTTTTAAATTACTCTAGAGATGTTTTAAAATTACGTTTACCATTAGAGAAAGAATACGAAATTCCTATCCATTCATATAATGTTTTATTGGATTTATTCAGTTTCGTAATGCGTGTACCAAACAAGATGGAAAGAAAAACCTTACCACAACCTGAAGTGTAAAAGAATGTTGTTTTTAGGCTGATAACCTGGCTCATTAAAAACAAAGTAAAAGAAACTTGTTAAATCCCTCACAAAGCCTTCTTAAACACACATGTTTAGAATAACTGTAGGAAACTTATTACTGCTTATTGTGTCTTTCAATGTCACCGTCAGAAGTGAGTCCAAACAATTAGTCAGAAGGCTGTCTCCAAACAATCGGCCCATCTGTCAGGTGGAAACCGCAACGAGAGTTTGAACACAAGACGCGAAAGAGTTGCAATAGAGAAATCTTGGAAGTACGTCTAATACATATTTGCTGGCGGGGGAGGAAGGAAGTCCGATAACAATATATTTTTCAAGATAATTGAGCGACACTAGAATCTTATTAGAAAGTGTTTTTTAGAATCAGAGATTTAGAAACTCTTAAAAAGAAGATAGTAACTCTTATATTTAATACAAAGGTATAAAAGCAGTTCGGTCTTATTTATACAAGTTTACTTAATCACATAGGGGTTATATATCGATAGCCTAAGAGCCAAACAAGGTATCAATTAATCGTTAAGACAAACAATTTTCACCAGATACAAATTTTGAAAACTGAATTTTTTGGATTCATATAAAAGCTCATTAAATTAGTAGCATTAATAAATATGTACTCTTCGAAACATAGAATTATATTTTTCAAGTGTGACTTAAATAAGAAGAAAATTCAAATCAGGGAGGTTTACTCTGCCTGTGAGCATTATGTTCGAATTTCTCTGGTGACAGAGTGGCGTCTGAAGAGATTCTGATTCAGATTCTACAAGATATGGTTTGACGCTTAAGTTTGTAATTTTTACACTCCTGATACGTGAAATTCCTTTTCCATACATAACAATGTTGTGTCTTGCGTGTTTAAATCAGTGATAAGATGCATTTTATGCAGTCTCCAAAAATGATAATTGTAAAAATATATCAACCTAACATAAGTTTACATTCTGATAATATTACTGTCCTTTTAAGAAGCATCACAATAAACGCAGCTACACAGCAGTTCGGGCTTATTCACTTTCGCGTAATTAAAAAAAAAAAATTTTTTAAATTCATTTTCACTGCGAAAATATTCCCTGTTATATAATAATGCTTATATGTGGGTGAAAGTTTTGAGATATTACTCAACTGGATATAAAAGTATGACAACCTGAGATTTAAAATCAAATTTTTAAATGTTTCAAACTAGTTCTAGTAAGTTTAAATATTATATCAATTGACATGTTTACTAAAAAAAAAAAAATTCGGGGGGTAGAAATCAAGCAATATATAAAAAGTAAATACAAATAATTAACTAATTTTCCCTATTTCATACAAATTGTAAAAATGTGGAAAATAAAACACATGGGTCCAGTTCCTGCGCGGTAATCTTCACTTTTCCAGCTTATCGCCATAGTTATGTTCGCCATTCCTTCCGGTCGCCGCCAACAAAATGTTGACAAGTAATTTACTTGCATAGAAATGTGGCTTTGAATGCATTGTTGACAAACTCACAATCAATTTTTACCATACTGTTTCGCTACGTCCACTTTTATAATCCTCTAACGGAAAATCATAGCGGGTTGTCGAAAGAGAGTGGGCGATGTTTTGGCGTTGGATTTGGCATGCATCTTATGAAAAATGAGAGATTCTTACCGTGTGGTGGCCTGTAACTGTGAACCGCGCGGGCCGCTGCCGGACTGGCGTAGTAGCTGGCCGGGTTGACGGGATTCCCGTTGCTGTCGAGGGAGTGGAAAAACACGTCCACATCGTCGGGTGCTAACAGGTTACCGGAACCGTCGATGCCGGCGCTACCCATACGGGGCCCGTCATAGGGCCACCGGTGGCCCTGGCCCTGGTCGCCCGACACGTCCATTGGCTTCTCGTTGGTCGCTCTCCGTTAGAAATGGCTAGCGACCATTCAAATCGTTGATTTGATCACGTAGCTCGTCTCGCAGTAACCTGCAAAAAACATCATAAATATTAACAACAATTAAATTATCCAGCTAAATACAGAATCCTTAATAGCTGACATTAAACTAATATAGCACTTTCATAGCAGAGAAGGTCTCAGCTCGCAAAACATAAACAATTAGTAAATCGAAATTTTTTGTTAGATACAATAATTGAGACAACTGCAGCAATTTTATTCAATGCTCTAATTTCGGCAGTACATATACTAAAAATCCTGGTAGTATAAAACCGGTGGCATGAAATTTATCATTACCTTGAAATATTTAGAAAACAGGAAAGTATTCCAGATGTGTTTAAAACCATACCGAGGTTAGTAATGATAAAACAACAGAATACAGTGCAGATAATCTAAGCATTCAGAAATAGTACTTGTATTATTCTATAAAATAATCCAGAGTTAAGTTTAATTAACAGTTTAACTCGCAAAAACTCTAAAGAAATAATTTAATATTCTTTAAGTGTAGAACAAAATTCTCTCAAAACAGAATTAAAATTCTAGATACAGAGCAGAAAATAGAAGTAATGCTTCAAAAAGTATGAAATACTGAAGAATTCCTTTTAAAAATCTTAACTGTCAACATTGTAACTAATGATTTGTTATAAGCGGACATTGCTTTGTCATTACGTTAGGAATTTATTATATTTTCCCCGAAACAATTTTTTGAGTGTTTCTATGGGTTTTTTTCGACCAGTACTATTCATTTTAGACTTAAGACTGAATAAGGAATTCAGTATTTATGAGCACTATGATTAATAATTCAGCATCTTATAAAACAAATGATAGGGAGTTGAACTTTTATGCTTTAATGGATCATGACAAAGCACGCAAGGATTATCTGCTCAAGAGGAGTGATGTTTTCATGGAGGACTTTTAAAGAAAAACTGGCTCTTATTTATATTGCATATATAATAAGTAATAAACGAAAACTCCCATGCTACCAATCCATATTACACTCTAAAATTTAACTTTAGCAAGCATTTTTCATATTCTTATAATAAAATTTGAAGATCATGCAACTAGTAACGAAATGGGGTAAATTTAAACATTATGAATAAACTCCCCCTTTATTAATTATTATTAGAAAGGAGGCTGGTATTAAATAACACAAAGAATTTCAATACTTAAATTTTTAGTTCCGCTTTGTTTTCAAAAACTCTTGTTTCATTATTAAAAATCTCTGAAGGTAAGGAAAAAATAAATAAAAACTGGAGGATTTGGTTAAATTAGGAAGGATTATTTTTCATCCATGCATATATAAAGAATTTGCAGTTTGTTTACAGGAGTTTAGTTTATAAAGTGTCAGGGTGAATATTAAAAATTAACATTTCTCAATGTTCCATTCAGGTTAATTTCAGTTAATTATTTTTCAGCAAATTATAGAGAAATATTTGCACGTATGCTGAAAACGTGACAACGTTTTATTTTTAACTAAAAATAATTTTCAGTGGTACTATAAATGATTTCACGATTTTAAAACCACATATAAATAGCCGTTTATAATATAGTACAACGTTTGATAATTAGCTCCCCCCCCAAAAAAAAAGCATAACTTTCTAAGAGTAGATAAAATAATCGGACAGGTTTAAGATATAAATTTTTAAATGTTTATTTTGTTTAGTGATATAAAAGTTAAATTTTATATTATATAAACATAATCCTATTCAGAACATATATATATATATATATATATATCTATATTATATGAATTAACACCAAAGGAAGTATTATATTACAATTACTTAGTTGTATGCGAAATCCCAAAATGCTAATATTGCTAAATATGAAAAACGAAATGCAGCATCTTGCCATTACATGTTCGTGAATCGGGATGTTATTTAGAGGGTTTTAAAATATACATAAATTGTACACAGTACTACTTAAAAGAGTTATTAAATATGTCAATGAAAATATCATGAAAGAAAGAAATGTCAAAGAAATATCAAAATCTTGGAATGTGGAATAAATTCTTATAAGTTTTGACACCACTCAATTTAAAATTAATTTACGCAGGGGGGGGGAATTAAAAACATATACTCTTGTGTTTATCGTAAATAAAATTCAGTGTATTGTAAAATAATCCACTCCACAATGACTTTGTTTCAAATTTGTGAATTTCACGAGGAAGAATTTTTCTTTTTACCTCATCTTTCGCTAAAGTAATATTAGAAAGTAAGCACTGAACAATGAAAGGGTTCAAGTTCCTTTCTTACATCCAAGCGGCTTGCATTCGTGGAAGAATAGTATTCGATTTACTCCTTTCAAAGGTAATAATGGAATCAAGTGCAATTTCTTGACATCGTTTTCTAAAGTTTGGATTACTAATATGTAAAATACGAGGTTAACAATAATATGTAAATTATGAGAATTAAATTTGTACATCCATATGCAATTTTCGCGTGCTTTAACCGCAAAGGTTCAATGCACATCTAAAGCCCTGTTTTCGCTGCCTTGCAAGCGTTCGTTGCAGCAAAGTCGATTTTCGGAAATGATACAAGTCATGCTTTTGACATATCATTCAGATGATCATGATTTTTGTCATGTGATGATATCGTGACCAAAAATATTTATAAAAATACTAGCGGAAGTACCCGATGCCAGTTAAGTTAGATTGAGAGCAATGCTTCTAACAACAGAGAGAACGCTACCGCTGTAATCTTTCTCTAATAACGATGCAAAAATAAACGATTCATAGTCATACAGTTTCAGTCTGATGCGATATGGAACACACATAAAAAATTTCGATAGAAAAATAAACTAATACTCGTCCATTGTATCAGCAACAATGGCACGTAGTTTTTAATGATTTTCGTCTTTCAATCCAAATGGTCGGAAAAACTCAAGCTCCATCCAGTATTTCACTCATGTTCAATTTTAGCCGATTAAATGTGGCAAAAAATTGATCATAATTGATCAGAAATCCGTAACGCGAACAAACAAACAGACATTCATTTTTATATGTATAGATTTTTTAAAACTTACAATTTTTTTATTAACATAACATTTTAACAACTACGATTTGAAAGCGAGCAGTAGCAACATTTTTCGAAATAAAGCATTTTTATCTTCAACGCGAGACACTGTTGCCGCTCGGAAAAATGAGTACGAAAATTAATGTTTTCTGAGTTTTTAATTAATGTTTCGGTTGATTAAAGTCGTACGCAGTCGAAATGGCTTCCCAGGAATTTTTGGGATCGAGAATAATGTATTTAATGTTTGCAAAGCTATTTTTATTTCATTGTAAAACTTAGAAATTTTTTATTAACAAACTCTATGATTTGAAAGTGAGCAGTGGCAACACTTCTCGAAATTGAGCAGATTTTTATCTCAGGATGCGCGACTATTGACACTCGGAAAAATGAGGGCGAAAATTAGCGTTTTCGGAGTTTTTAATTAATATCGTTGATTTTAGATACTTTTTTTTGGGGGGGGGGAAGTGGACGTCGAACTTTGAAAAGAACAACTGTAGAAAGTTTGTTGACGATAGCTGTAGTAGCTACTGAGTTATTAGCGAACGAACAAACACACATACTTTCTTTTTTATATATATGAGTATTAAATTTATGGAAAAAAAAATTCATTCTTAAAAAATGGGAAATGAAGATGAACGCTTGTCGCTAGATTATAAGAAATAGAATCGTACATATTAAAAACACTTATGTTTATTAGTAATCCAGAATTACTATCAAAAAGGTGCTGCATCATTTCAAAATTTAACAGGCATTTACCATCACTCACTGAAGCATATTCAGCAGTTCTTCCCCGTTGTCACGCCTCTTCTCAACACAGCACAGAAGTCACTTCAAAAACCACGCTTACAGGAGTTGCTGTGTTTAGAGCAGCAAAGCTATACGTGAAGTACGTTGAAAAGTTTTTAAAAGGAAAGATTTTTTAATTCCCCCAGACTACAAATTGCAAAAACATTATTATAGGTTATATTGTTGGTATATGTAGTCATATCCTATGACAATGGTTTAGTAACGGAAACAGGAAATTAAGTTGAGAGGATTTTCCGCCTGAATGGCTTAAGGGAAATAAATTAATGTGAAACTTTAAACGGTATCAGAATTATTTGTGTACATATGAAACTTATAAATGCAGCTGGGTAACAGTACTAAGTGGAACTGATTTAACTGAGAAACTGGCTTAACAAAGTTTTCTTTAATGCAAATATTTTCAGCTTTACACATTAAGTAAATATCCTAATAAGAATTATCACATTAGGTTAAAAATTTGGTTTAATTAACTTATAGTTTTCAATCTTGAATTTTTTTAATTAAAAAAATAATATGTAACTGTATAATATGTAAGAATGAAAAGGAGAAAGTGCAATATTAATTCAGAGATGAATTGTTATTTTCTTTAAATCTTGAAATCAACATTTAAGAAGAGTTCTAACTTTTTCATAAATTTTTATACTGGCTAGAAGGCTCCGGTTGACAACTACTGAGGATCATCAGTTAAACAAATGCACTAAGTTTTTGCATTGAGTCAAACACTATAAGCTAAGATACTGTAACAGTGAGAGGATAAAATGCCTTTTGGTAATTCAATACGCCACAAATTTTCAAGTTGTTTTGAATTACGTGAATTTCCTTTTCATTTTTCTCCAGTTCTGCGCTTTTTAAATGTCTACAATTCAGTTAATTTCATACCAATACTGTTCCCTTTTTCCAGCAGCGTAATCTATATCTAGATATTTTCTACTTTCAGATTTAAGAAAAATTCAGCGTGAATTCTTACAAACAAGAGTTACAGTTAAACTTACAGACTTACAGTTAAAGACAAAAAATCTGAAAGCTTTCAGATTTTACATTAGGTCCCAAAGGGGCACTTTTTTTTAAAGTTTTGGGTGTTACTTTGTTATTAAATATCATGCTCTTCGCTCTTACACCATAAAATTCAGTTCAACAGCAATATCGCAACATAATTTTAAAATGAGCATATCTTTAGAATTTCTAATACACAGTCTTGCGCGCTGGAGATAATT